GGTCACCTCCCTGGCCAGGGATTGAATGTGTGCAAAAGCACTGTGGCTAGCTTCCTAATGCTGTGCTTTAACCCATTGCACCACTAGTGAGGGCCAGATCAATGCTGCTTTTACTTAGCTTTCTTCGTGGCAAATTTCTCTGTAATATCCTTTGCCCTTTATTGGTTTTATTTTCAAAGAATTTCCTACTGATCAGAAAAGTTCCTTTTTAGAAGTGGTCTAAAGCTGATTAGCTTCAGCTTCTACTGGTCTCCATGTGAGAGAATCCTTACAAAGAGATAGTGATGGGTAAATCCATTTTTCTTTCTTGTTCATTTCTTATAGTTTGTGGGGAAGGGTTCAAACGAGGCATCAGTGACTAGCTGTAACTCAAGCATGTTGTCTGAGAAACTTGAAGGTCTAGAATGTGGCTGTGTTCCTTCCAGTCTCTGCTCTAGTACAGAAATCTGGTCCCAGCAGATGGGAAGCAGCATGTATGTGTTGAGGAGTTGCTGGTCATTGGTCCTGGCCAGAGAAGGAGCTTTTTCATGACAGTATAACATTTCAGAGTTGCTTAGCCTGTCCAAGGGAACATACTTTTGTTTCATATGTGTGCTCTGGTGGTAGATTAACATGTATTTTGCGTTTATTGATGACCATATTAACAAGAGTGTATCAGTGCAGGAAACCAAAGATCTACCATCTGCAATGTGTTTATAGTTCAAAAAACTGATTACTAAGTTAATTGTACCTCTTGACCTTCTGCTGTCACCTAAGATTACTAACACTTCCTTGAAAGTCACCCAACTTAACAACCTAGGAGCTGAAAGATGACCAAATTATACTACTAAATATTGACCTCACATGCTTGGCAGGTACTTATGGTTCTAAAGGGTCGTCCCTGGTGAATCAGAAGTAGCTCTCAGCAGTGCAATGCTCTGAATATAAAACAAGTGGCTCTCCAGGGAAAAATACCTGATTTGTTACATTTGCCAATTTTCATCATGGAATCTTAAGAACTTGCTGAAACAACATGGAAGAATTCCAGAAAAAGGGGAAAGGGATTAAAAAAACTTTAGAAGTAGAAAGCTTACATACTCTATATCTATAAAAGAAATTTAAATAAATTTTCTGAAAAGAGAATTCCAGATCTCTTCTCCATGCTTGAGAAGTGTATCAAGTAGGCAAGAGAAAAAAATTACTAGGCTTGTACACAATCCTTCAGGAAAATAGATGGAGAAACATTTTTCCATTTTCAGGCTAGCATTATATTGTTGCCAAAGTTATAAAAAGACATATGATGAGAAAACTAACAACTGATCAGTATACATTATGTAAAGATAGAAAAAGTGAGTCCAGTGACCAATAAAAATAATAATGCATAATAACTGGGAATTAAGTTGGTTTAAAGTTCAATATGAATTAATATAATGTGTCATTTTAACAGAATGGAGAAGAACTTTATGATCACCTCAAGATATATAGCAGTCATTAAAATTTCCCCCTCATTCATTACATATGTAAAGAATAAGACAGATTTACCCCAACTTAAAAGGTATTGAAGAAAAACTGCAAATAATAGCAGACTTAAATGTTGAAAGACTAACGCTGTTCCCTAAGACAGGGAGGAAGGTGAGGATGTCCAAGTCACTCCAGTCAGCATTGCCAAATGGCTAAGAAGTACAATAAGAAAAGAAAAAGAACTAAAAGGGAGAAGAAAAGCAGTCTTCATTTCCAGTTCTAAATTATAAAATCGATATAATTTATAAAATAATCAAAATACCAAGTGATTTTAACAAAGATAAAAGAGATAGTGTCAATTAGCAAAAATTAGTTGTACTTTTACATATTGATAACAGGAATTATATAATTTAATACAATCTATAACACAATAACATGGGAAATAGAATATTTAGTGGTACATTTAGTAAAATATTTGCAGTATCTTTACACTGAAAATTTCAACAATTAAGAAATTAATGGTTTAAATAAATAATGATTTAAGGGATATTTATGGGTTAGAAAATTCAATAGTGTTGTTTCCTTATCTCCCCAAATTGAATGCATTGATTTAGTCATAATCAGAATTCCAGCAGAATATATTTATGGAATTAACAAGTTGAGATTTTAAAATTAAAATGGAAATGCAAAGGACTTAAAATAGTATAACCATTTTGGAAGAGAACAGAGTGGGAGCTGTGGCAAGCAGAATTCTAAGATGGCCCCAAAATTCTACCCTCTACTGTTCAGGCCTATCTAATCCCCTCCCCTTGAGTTGGGAGGGGCCTTTGACAAGTTGTGACAAGTTGTCATTCCCATGAATAGGTTACCTTTTAGAGCAAAAGCAAAGGGCGTTTCACTCATGACTCCATCCAGGATTGAAATGGCTTCATCCCTGTGGGCACATACAAGCCAAATGCAACACTTAACTTCTCATCCTACAGATGGCTCTTAACCACATCTATTTTCTAGTCAACTCTCCCAGTGAAGCAGGCTCTGCGTCACCCTGTGTCTATGTGGGCAGAGATTTCAAGGTCATGGTTTGTCAGGATGTGGTCTAGACATGGCAGGTGCAAGGTCTGGTTATACCAGCTGTTGACCCTGGGGTCACCTCAGTGCCTGGGAAGGAAGGAAGTTCCAGGTGACTAAAGTAAGGTCTTCCACAGCAGGGCACCTCTCACTTTTATGTGTGTATGAATGACCATCAGATTCTATTAAAATGAAAAATCCAATCCTCCCTGGTGTCCTAGGGCTGTGGGCCAGGGAAGTGACCCACAAGGCACAGCAGACCTCTCCTGTCTTGCCCTCTGCTTCCCTCAGCAGTGTATTTCAATGAATCTGACAGTTCTTCTCCCCCACTCTGTCTCTGTGAATCCTCTCTCTCCCTGCACCTCTGGCCTACACCCCAATCGAGATAAAATAAGATGAGAACATATCAGAGTGAGATCTGGCATTCTGCATATCTGAAACCCTCTCAGGTGAAAGGATACTGTGTGCAACAGGCCCACACTTTGAGTAGCAAGTCCTGGAGGCAAGAGCCCAGAACTGATAGCAGATGACACTGATATTCAGTATACTCAAATTCTGTTGTCTCATGCACAAATACAAATTCTGGATGATGATATAGAAATTATACATTGTACTTGAAAACACCCTGGTGATAGTTAATGCTCAGCTAATAATAGTTTTTTTCTTTTTCTTTTTCTTTTTATCATCTTGTATATTTAGGCAGCTGAGTGAAAATAGTTAACCCAAAAGCAGGGTAAATAATGGGATACTCCAATCTAATATTAAAGCCATGTGTGCATGGAACTTCCCTACAACCCAGCAATCCCACTCCTAGGTATCTACCCAAAAGACACAAAAACACGGATTCAAAAAGATACGGGCACCCCCATGTTTATTGCTGCTTTATTCACAATTGGGAAGACATGGAAACAGCCCAAATGCCCAAAAGTGGATGACTGGACTAAAAAGATGTGGTACATATACACAATGGAATATTACTTAGCAACCAAAAAAAAAAGAAACACATGTCTTTTGCAGCAACATGGATGGAGCTGGAAAAGATCACGCTTAGTGAAATAAGCCAGAAAGAAAAGGAAAAATACCAGATGGTTTCTCTCATAGCAGGAATATAACGGAACAGGCGAGAAAATAATGATAATGATGAACAGCTATATACCAGAGATATTTTATGAGGGTGGAGTGGGGAATGGGATCAAAAACAGTGGGGGGAGGGAAATGTACTGGACTATGGTCATGGCACATGATTTGGTGATGGGAAACCCAAGGAGATTGCAACTGAGATGGAAAAATGCACAAAAATATGTAAAAATAAACTATTTTAAAATAAAAAGTAATGTGTGCAATCTGCAGTCACTATTACAATTACTCACTTTGTTTTATGAAGCAATAAATGTTCATATCATCATAGGTTTTAAGAATGAATTTTCTAGGGCCGAGATTACCCATGTCACAACTGACGTGTGAAAAAGAACTTGGGGTCCTTCTAATTATTAGCCTGGACCTGTAACCACTGAGAGTTTTAGAAAAATGGCATTAAAATATTTATTTTTTATTAATAAAATATGGAGGCATGGATGACAGAAGCAGGATAAAACTTGTTCCTGTTTAATATGCATACTGTGTTTTATCATTCCGTACTATTTATTATTTAGAGACATATCGTGCAGTAACTTTGATCTCTCCCTCTGGTTCCCCTTTCCTTGCTGTATTTTGCTGTATTTATTGACTATAAAAGCACTTACTTTCCCTTTTAAATTCTATGCTAAAGACTAAGACTTGGGTTTCCTGGACTTCTTTTCTCACCATTAGTTTAAAGGCAGTTAAGATATTAAATTAAGCACCTTACTCTCTGTGATCCAAATAAACCTCTGGATACCGATGAACTTAGAAGTTTTTCGAAGAAAATTAGGAATCTTCCTTTATTGTACATGCATTCTGTTAAAGCTTCTGCTAAGGCTACAGGAATTAATACTTTTTCTGGAAATGGGACTTTTGGACATTTTATAGCAGTGATTTCAATGCTGTTAGTGGTGAAACAGAAACTGGAGAATGTGAGGATTAATTTAAACCACATGATGGGTTAGGGAAAGGAGACACACTCTGTACAGTTGCCTGAATGTGTGCCTATGCTGTACTGTGAGGATGGTCCAGAAAACCACGAGTGAACTTTTAAACCCTCTTGAGAAGAATCAAAGCAAGACAGTTAGTCCTGAAAAGGGAGCTGTTTCAGAAGACAGAACTCTCTACCTCACAAGCAGTTCCCTGTGCCAGAGAGAACTCAGTGGGGAGCACATGGGAAGAGGGAAGACCCCAGCCATTACCACTAATGGGATGAAGTTAGAACCTTCTTTCTGGTCATTAACTGGCTTAATGATTTGTTTTTCATTATAGATTCCAAATTCTGTTGAACTCTTTTAATAATAGACAACTAATAAATTGTATGTTGTAGAGAGTTGGTGACTATGAAATAAAGGATTTTGTTTCTCTTCCAGTTCGTTGTAGCTGTGTTCTGGATTATTTATGCCTATGACAGAGAGATGATTTACCCGAAGCTGCTTGATAATTTTATCCCGGGGTGGCTGAATCATGGAATGGTAAGTGGACTGCAGCAAATAATGTATTTTTATTTAAAAAAATATTGAAAAACTGTTTTCTGATTTAAGCTTTTCCATAGAACTTACCTAAATGGCTGTGAAATGTTGGAAAATGATGAGACTTCTCTATAGTTAGAGAAACCTATTGAATGTAAATAATAATAAAAAAAAATCTACAGTTTGTAAGAGGGGGTTTGTAGTATTAGGTAATACAACTAGCTCATTCCAGGATGTGTTTCATTTTGGTGCCACTCAAAGTCTTATCTCTTATGGAGAGCTAAGGATCAATCCCACCTACACAACTGTCAGCACCACCCTGCTCCCTTCACCCCCCCATCAATGGGCTTGTGTTGGGACTTAATGTTGTGCTTGAGGAATCCCCCCCCACCCCTGCAGAGAGCAAGGAGATTGTTATTTTGTCTTGTAATCTGTTGCAGGCATCAGAGGTGTTCAGATTGACAGTTGTCCACCTGGTAGGCTCTACCCATCCTGGGGTATTTGCCCGAGATGGTTAAGTCTTCTTCTCAGCAGTAACTCTACAATGTTTCAGCCACTGTGTTACCATCACAACTTTCAAATTAAATACTTTAAATACCGTGCACATTGCTTTCAAGAAGAAAGCAGATAGATTTTCTGCAGAGAAAATCTGTGTGTTGTCTTCCCTTCCCACTTTTGTAATTGAACACTGTTTTGTTATGAACTAAGAAACTTGCATTGTTTTGGTTACAGCAATTTTTAGAATCTGTCACTGGGTGCTCCTTGTGAAAAGGGTAACCCATCACAGAAATTATAGGGGAACCAAAAGCTAAGAAATCATGAATCTTAGGTCTAAAATAACAGCTTCACTTCTGCCCCCAATTTTGGTATATTTTAAGACAAGTGGTAAGTACTAACAAATAAACATATACTGTGCTGGGGATTTTGATCAGATCTTCTTTGCATCAGCTCATCAAAACTGGCATAAAGAACAAAATTTTCCTTAAGTCCAGTTAGAGCCACACTATTGAAGGAGAAACAGGCACTTTTGTCTAGTTTCAATCAAATAAGCTTCTCAGTTCACTTTAACCATTTAAAGGGCCTCCTGACAAGGTGACTGTCCTCTCCAATATTTTACTTCTCTCTATACTAACCTAATTGATTCTGTATTGTCATCATCCTCTGCTTCCAACTCCCTTCCTATTCTTCACCAGAAAACTCCCGCTTGCCCCATTAACTTCCATGGCATTTTCTCCAGGAATTCTGTCCTAACTTTCCCAGATTCTTCTCTTATTTGAGCTTCCAGAGCACTTTCACATGTCTGTTTTACATGTCTGCTTCGCTCAAATAAAAGTGATTTCATTGTACAAAACAGCAGCCTTTATATCCCAGCTGCATACTTAAGCATATGTCAGATAGCAGATCAATGCACATTTATTAGACTGATGAATGAATTCAGTAGGACCGATTTCCATAATGCTTTGCCAGTTAAAACAACTGACTGCTAATTCGTGAGAATCTATTATATTCCAAGCGCTCTTTAGTGGCTATATCATTTCATTTTTACTGTGGAATTATGAATAAGATATTTCCAGCCCTTTTACAAATGAAGGAGTTTCTGACTGCAGAATGGGATTGCAACCCATGCTGTAGAAGCACATTCCTTGACTATGTGTCCTGTAACTGTACAATATCACCTTCAGGACAGAAAATGCTTCACAACCTGGTGCTATGTAATATTTCTGGTAGAAGGTTTCTTAAACATGTAGCTATTAGTTTCACCTTAATTCATAATCTCCCCTCAGTGTTCTTCGTTGGGTTAAAATGTTTACTTTTCTCACTCCCAAAGGCAAAAACTACCTAGAAACTCAAGAGATTTCAGTGACACTAAAACTTAGGGAATGAAGAAGACAAATTAACATGTGAAATCCCCTAGATAACATGAGCTCAGTAGATTCTTCTAGTGAATTTTGTTTCTTACTACAGATGAATGACCGTTTCTTTGCTTTTCTTCATGTTGCAATTCATGGTTCCAGAATTATTAGCCAACAGTTTGCATATGAGAAATATTTCACAATATTAATTAGTTTACACTACTTGAAATTTGTTTATATATAACTTGAAATGTAGCATACATAAAGCATGATGCTGATTCTTTGAATTGGCAATTAAAATATGAATATTAAATGCTGGAGTTATGAATAATTCAATTTTTAAAAAATGTGTAATAAGATTTATGATATCAACAAATTATATAAAGCATTTTATTATTTGCTTAAAACTTTATTTAAAAACAAATATATTTTGATTCTGCTTTAAATTTTATAGGTATTTTGAATATTCCATTTATAATTAAAATCTATTTAATTATTTTACATTTATTTTCACATTCATATTTTGATAAAACTATTCAAATTGTATATACTGTGATTATATTTTAATTTTAATTGACGTTTTAGTTTGTTACTCTTGGTAGAGCTCAAGTTGTGTGAGAATTTCCATATGACAGCACATAGTGATTTTGCTGAAATGGAAACAAGAAAATTGTAATTTTGGAAAATTCATATTCACATTATATTAAATATCTTGAGCACACATGTGTAACTTACAAATCTCCATATCTTTATTTCCTAATAAATATTTCACGTATTTTTCAATTTTATTTCATCACAAGGTAGCAGCGTAGAACATATTTTATGTAATTCTTTACTAATTTGTAATGTTTAAATTTTTGTACAAATGGTTTCTGACCCTTTGGGCCTGTTATTACTGTTTAGATTGTCTTAACTATAAAATTCCAAGAGAAAATGTACATATAGAATCACAATACTTGTCTGATGAATTTCTACATAATTTCTAAAGATCCAGAGTCCTGAGCCACAGAACTGTGATGCAATATATAAGTCTATCATGGCTCCATTTCGGAAAACATTGCTTTTGTGGCATTCAGAAAAACAAAAGTAGCCAGAGTCATAAGGGAAATCGCATAGGATCTGAAATTCACAGTACTTCCGTTTTAATTGATACCCAGTTTGCTAAAAGTTAAGCATTATAACTAAAGAAACATATTCTATAGCTTCCTCCCTGTTGTCTTCCTCTTCCTTCAGCAGGGAGTCCTAGGACATGTTTGGAAAAGAGGAAATGGGTAAATGGTTGAGTTAGAATAGTAATGCAAGCAATTCCATGAAAACAGCACATAAAACAGATTTAAGGTATTACAACTAAAAATGTAGGCCTATAAAGTAGAGCATATTTAAATGGAACCATTTAATATCTAGAAAGAACTGTTCTCTCCTTGCAGCTCTTCTTATCTTTATATTCCCAACAACTCAAATAGCACATGATGCCCATTAGCATTTACTCAGTTTCATGATTCAAGGGATGAAACATGAAGCCATGTCAGATTTGCATGTAGTGTGTTCTACCACCTTTCTGTTCTCAGTACCCTGCTGATCAGGCAAAGGAAAAACAAGGGTGAGATCAGAAAATAAAACCAGTTACAAAAGTGGTGAGAAATGCCCTGGGCTGTTCCAGTTGGGCTCTGGGTGACCAAGATGTGAGAGCTAAGCTGTGATCTCATTCAGTTTATAAACATTTACTGAAAACCTATGCTGATATGCGAAGCACTCTGCTAGGCTCAGTGGGGTTGACAGGATGAGAAAAACACATGCAGTTTTCCAAGGTGGAAATGGCATGTTTGAGGTGAAGGGAAATAAGCAGGAAGAGAATTCCAGAATTCAACACAGTAGTGTTCACTCTGACAAAAAGCAGCACAGTGATTGTTCTGACCTGTTTCTTATTTGCAAAAGTAGAATCCTGACGTTTCTCTTCTGTGAATTATAATTTTAAAGCATTGTCAATGGAGTAAGTATGCATTAACAGCAACAAATAAATAAATATTTAAACTCTAGAAAGATTACAGACTCTGATGCTATAAACAGGAAAACCAACAATGAGACAATGTCACTGTTTATTGAAGACCTAATTAATGTTTATAAAGTGCATTGAGAATGCCAATGCCAGGCACTGCAGAAGGTTAGGCTATTATTATTATTACCATAGATCTTTTAGCAGGCATGACCTAGATATTCTCATAATCACAGCAGGAGTTATTCATTTCCCCATGTAATTTATGAGGAGAAAAGAAAAAACAAACCCCACCTCTCTTCATGCCTGATTTGCCAGTTATTCTTGTTATATGTAACTGATCCTCAAGAGAACCTTAATTTAGGTGACTATTTATTCTGTTCAATATTATTTTGACATTTGGTAATTACTAAAGCTCTTGTACATCTTCTTTTCCCAGAAATGAAGGCATTAAATACTGCTTGGATGATCATTGGTTTTGTGGGAACTCAGATTTGACGTTACTCTTTGAGTAGATAACACAAATTGTAGAAAGTTTCCAGTTTTGGAACACACAGATATGCATTTCATGGCCCCTGGAATCTGTGTCATAGAGATGTTGGGTGCTTCAAAAGATAACTTGTTGGTCGAAAGGCCATCATAAATACTTCCATGTGAAAAAAACAGACTTTTCTCAGTTTCTCCAACATGTTCTAAAATAACTACAAGATATTCAGACATTTTAAAGAGAGAGAGAAACAGAATTGGAACAGAGTTAAGAATTTTTTGGACCTCATTCTAGCCTCCTAATGGACCTCCCAAAGAAAATAAGTCAAACCCAAAGACAGGAACAGGAAAGAGAGTTGCATCTCAGAATTGCTGCAAGTTGTTCTCGAATAGCAACTTTTTCCATATCCAATTTTACTGACAATAGCTTCTTCCATTGTGAATTTTTATTTGAGATCACTACCTCTACTATCTCCACTTCTGTGTGAGATTTTGCTGATCTAAATTTGACATGAGGATTTCATTATTCTGTCTTCTTAAGTGAGTAATTATTTTTTTAAATCGATTTATTCACTTATCTATACAAGAACTGGGGTACAGGCCAAAGGTGGGGGCGGGTGTTGAGAGGATTCACCAGAGACAGAGTGGGAAACAGAACAGGTGGATTGATT